ACCAGTATCTTACAACAATTCAAAACCATGGCAAGTGTTCTTTGAAGAATTAAAGTCGTAATAAGCTTAAACAACGGCATAATTCATGTTTGACGGCAATAATGTCTATTTATAAATGTCGAGCGGAGTACTGGATCCAAATGTACTGATTTTCGTGCAAAAGTCGCCGGTGTTTCCCAGAGCCTCAGCAAGCCTCCACGGAGGATTGCGGGCTCTGGTTTCGAGATTGTATATTTTATGGATATTATTACCTCGTCCCCAGGGCCTTCGTGCTGAGAGGCGCATGCTGAGAAGGACGCGCCTCTCAGCACGAAGGCCCTGGAGACTTGAAAGCTTGAAATTGGTAAGATTTTAAATTAACATGCTATTCTGTTTCTTCTATACTGCTATTTTTTTTACGCCTATAATATATATAGGCTATATGCAGAAGGCTAAGTTCAACGGAACCTCCACAGGCACAGTATTAGCAAATGGTTAAAAACATAACTTTTCTAATATTGTAGACTGTCAATAGACATATCATGTAAACAAGGTCACCAGTAAAAGATTGTTTTATATAATTTACCTTGGTTGCTACGTTCTACCAACAATAATATATTATTGACAGTTTAATTTTGAGGACGGCTATATCTTGGTTGTATTGTTTATTAGCCACTCTGCCGAAAACCAAATCACTATTTAAATATTGTATCAAAATTGCAATCCCAGCCATTGATGGTAGTAAAGTACAATAATGGCCAATAATTGTGAGTTTAGCGGCCAAAATACGACTGAATATCGATCGACGTTATCTGGGGTGGGTAAGTGGGTGAAATATTAACGTCGATTCGACGTTATTTGTGGCAACACTATGAATCTGGATTCTGGACGTGGCCCTTTATTTATAGTGTCCTATTGATGACTCGGTAATGTTGGACCTGCACATGCAACATATTCTCTATGTACTGTTTAATAAACGAGTAGGAGTGTTTTATCACATATAAAACACGACGGGTAGCGGAGTGTTTTATATGTGATAAAACACGAACTACGAGTTTTATTAAACAGCTTCAAAAACGTCTCAGTTAGATCACGGCATTGGCGAAATAATTTTCCAAAATAACTTTGTATTAGCTGAGAAAATACAAGTTGAAATTTTAAGCATGTTTTATCACATATAAAGACACGCCACGCTTATGATTTCTCTTTGTGTTTTCCTCATGAATTATTAATGAGTTTTTGAAGACTATGTCATCTGTGAAATTTTGCTCATTACTTTGGTTATCAGGAGGTTATCAACGGCTATGCTCTTCATTAATTATAATGATTAATGTCTAATGGATTGATCATTGATGGTTATTGGTTTATATGTCCCTGAAGAATATTGGAATCTGTTACTAGTCCTCTTGAAACATTCTCTATATCCTAAAAGAAAAAATTTTCAACCCAGAATACAATACTGACAAAAAACACAGTGGAAATTTGATGGAACACCAGATACTATCACATAAATATATACTTATTTATATCACCTCATTATTTCACAATGATACTTAATTACTTATCCCAAGCCTTCTGGGAACCAGATGCAAGTTAGTGTATACTATTTGTACATTTGAAGTAGAACTGTATACGATCTATAATTAATATATAATAATATACTGTAGATTAAACCAAGTATAATTAAAGCACAGGAAATATATTTTTCATTTCTGCTTTGTATGTACAGTATTATGTTACCCATTGCGAAAATGGCAAGATTATATAATAAGGTGCTAATCATACCTCGTCAACTTCCTACATCACCCCAAGCAATGGCTATCTTTAAAAGCAGGAATGGGGAATCTGGGAACGAAACGGGGAATGGAATGGGGAATGCGAAAAACAGGAACGCGAAAGCCGGAATCGTTAAAAATAGGAACGCGAAAAGCCGTAATCTTTAAAAACAGAAACGCGAAAAGCCGGAATCGTTAAAAATAGGAACGCGAAAAGCCGTAATCTTTAAAAACAGGAACGCGAAAAGCCGGAATCGTTAAAAACAGGAACGCTAAAAGCCGGAATCTTTAAAAACAGGAATTCGAATAGCCGGAATATTTAAAAACAGGAACGCGAAAAGCCGGCTTTAAAAACAGGAACACGAAAAGTATTTTAATAAGTGTGAAATATTAGTGAAGTCAGTCTGAATTAGTGAATATATATCTTTAAAATTTCAATTTCCCAATACTCGGGTAATGTAGTGCTTTGTTGCTTTTAAATGCTGCAGAAAGCTGCAGTGAAGCAAGATGTATGGAAATACTACACCTCCAATATTTGAATATTCAGAAACAATTTACACAAAATCCAACCTGTCATCTAAGTATATATTTAGAAAGCCAAAATTTTAATGATATATTCGAATAAATAATGACTTATAAGATCTGGAGTGTGGCCTCAAAGTGGCGGGTTTCGAGCGCTTGCTCGTGAAGTATATCACTGGCCATTATACAGAGTGGTTTGTAGACCGCACCAATATTGCATCAACAGTGCTTTCATAAATTTTCTCCTCAGTCAGTGGAGACTTATACATCCGAATTTCGAAAGCTGAGGCGACGTTCAATGGCCACACACAACTTCACAAAAGCAAACGAAAAGTATTCCGACCCTCACAGTACATCCACTCAGTATGTGCATATCGCTGATATTAAACATATTAAACAAATGATTATGAAATACAGCGTAAGAAATCTAAACTATGGCACAGTGCAAACAATGTGTTCATGAAATCGTATCTGACTAAGGTTGCTTACCATTTATTTACATGGAAAACCCATACGGTTTGAAATTGTGCCAATGGTAAGCAGTGCCGCCCAGAGGGGGGGGCAAAGGGGGCAATTTGCCCCGGGCCCCGAGTTGCTGGGGGCCCCTGAAAAATTTTTGTAGGGGCCCCCGCCTTTTTTGTGTGTTAAATATTCCCGCGCAAAGGACTAGATATCTGTTTTCTTGGGCTAAGTACCGAATTTTGGCCTAAAAAAATGAGATAAAGTCACTCGAAAGCGTTTGCATCGTACTCGTCCGGCAAAATTTTGCATCCGAAAAAAATTTTTTACCCCTAAAATGGTACACTGACCGAAATTTTTTTGGCGACGGGGGGGGGGGAGGTCGCCCAAATAATTTCCGGAAAAATTTTTTTAGATAGGGCCCCCTAAAAAAAATTTGCCCCGGGCCCCCGCCAACCTCTGGGCGGCCCTGATGGTAAGCAAAATTTCGGATAGAAAATCCCATTCGGATTATGCGCTTTTCATTTAGAGTGACTGACCGGAAGGCACTGAAGTATATGGCGTCAGATTTCCGCCAATATTCATGTTGATATTCGATTCAACATGTTTCCGTATTGAAATGAATTTCGACATTGAACATATCAAATTCAGCATGCCACTTTAATACATCCCTCATTGATGTTAATTTGAATATTGAACATGTCCAATTCAGTAAGCGAAATACAACATTGAAGTATAGATATTGAAGTAATTTTCGATGTTGAAGTTTCAAAACAGGTTGAAAACGCATCATTACATGAATTTGAGAAGTGAATATTGGCCGTTATATAGCACCGCGTTAATTAATTAAATATCCGCCAATATTAATTAACACTTCGTTAAACTACCCCCTGGCATATTCCTGGAATATATTGGCGGCTACGAACGAGCAGAATCAGTGATGAAAATCATGAAATAGTTGGTGCACTGCTGCTCAAATTGGTTTAAATTTTTGCAAACCCTATATCCAGCAATTCCAAAGTGCATGATGTCGCCTTGGTGACCCAGATTGTGTAGAGCCAATGGCAATACAATTTGACGTTTTAAAGAGATATCTTGTAAATATTAGAATCGACGACATCATGCACTTTGGAATTGCTGGATATAGGGTTTGCAAAAATTTAAACCAATTTGAGCAGCGGCAGCGCTATTCCGCCATGAATAACTTTGCATTTCCAGCACAAGTTTATGCCGTGGAAAACCTTCGCAGGACGTCCTTCGTATGCGGATATACACAGGGCCTTTTTTAAGGATTTTCCCGTGGGGGGGCATTTTTTGAAAAGGGACCTTTCTGTGAGATAATATATTAGAGGGGGATAGCAATGGCTAAAAGCCACGTGTGTGGCAAATATACCACGCATGAATGGGGGGTCTGGGGGTGTACTCCCCCAGAAAATTTTTGAAATTTGACTCCCGGAAATGTCATTTCCTGCATTCTGAGCATCCCCAAATTTGCTCCAAAATTTATCCTAACTATACTTGTATTTGAAATAAATAAAGGAAGAAACACACAAAAAGTAAAAAAAAATTAACCATCATTTATCATTACTTATTAGAGGAGGATAGCAATGGTTAGGTGTGTGGGGATGCACTCCCCCAGAAAATTTTTGAAATTTGAACCACGGAAATGCCATTTCCTGCATTCTGAGCATCCAAATTTGCTCTAAAATTTATGCTAACTATAGTTGTATTTGAAATAAAAGATGGAAAAAGGCACAAAAAGTAAAAAAGAATATTAACTGTAATTTATCATTACTTATTAGAGGGATAATCCCAAGAAAATTTTTGAAATTTGAAACCGTGAAATGCTATTTTCTGCATTCTGAGCATCCAAAAAATAAAAAAAATATTAACAATAATTTATCATGGCTTAGTGGTAAAAAAAGTAACAATTTAAATCGATTTTGTTAAACAAGAACAAAGGATAAAGCCTAAAACTTACTTTCCGTTTATCTATTTGTTAATCTTTCAGTGGATTGTTTGTATAATTTTAGGAAAAAGGGACTTTTTCTGGGGGGGCAAAATGTGATTTCGTGGGGGGGCACAAGGGGGGACTGGGGGGCAAATGCCCCCCAGCTTGTATGTTAAAAAAGGCCCTG